CCAGCGCCGACCCCGGGCTCGGCTCTGTTCTTTCCTTGTGGCTGGCTAGATAGAATTTGATTGCAAAATAAATATTTTACTTGTTCATTTTAATTTGGCTGGACAAATTTCCGTTTATAACAAACTCATTGTAAAAGTAATTCCTCTCTGTAAATACATAGCCAGTACATTTAAGGGGGCTGAGGGAAAGTTCCTGGAGAAGCAGAAGTTGCACACTGCAGAACGGCCGCCTTAACCACTTTGTACAGGTGGAACCTACCGTGCCCTGATCGGGATCAAACAGTTTTCATCTCCTGATTATTGCTCGTGGCTGGCCAGAGAGACCATTGCTGCAGCAAGAGCTGTGTGCCAGAGTTTATTTCAAGAGCCCTGTAGACAAGAGACATCAATCCCAAGATGGACCAAAAGAAACCCCCCCAAAAATGAACTTTCTTGGACTTAGTGGTGAGTGTACAGCATTCCTTATGTCATCAGCACTTGCAAATAGAGCATGTAGAAAGCCCGAGTGCATGTAAAAACTCCAGTGTGCTTTTGGTCTGGATAAATTAAACTTAAATGTATAACTAAAATTGCATGTGGGATTATCAGAAAAATATGTATCTAGCTTCTGATAAAATCACCACATTGAAAACATTGAAGTACAAGAATATTTGAATAAGAAAAAAGAGAAATGGAAGATGCTTTATTCCTGTAATTTATTTTCTTTTTACAAAAAAAAAAAAAAAAAAAAAAAGAAAGAAAGAAAGAAAGGATGATTATCAAATATATAAGTACCTTCAAAGCAATTTTTGCCCACATGTATTTTGTTTCCTTTTACACTTTCTAAATTTTCTTTCCACATTTTAGGCAGCAAAAAAATCTTTCTTTCTCTCTCTTGATGGTCTTCCAAAATGCATGTTAAGCATTTTGAGTGGCACCTGTTATAGGATCAAGCTGGAGATTTAATAACTCTTTCTTTTTTATTAATGTTCTTTTCCCTTTTGCAGATTAGTCCTTAACTGCTTAATATTCATTGCTTGCTGCCAGCACTGGAGAGACACATTTTATTTAAGAAATTAGACAAGTTTAGTTATGTGAATGAGGAATGTCTAGAAATAGCAATCACTGGTCTGAGTAAGAAATCCATTGCACAGCCATACATGAATTCCAGTTATCCAGTGGATTTTGAACTGAGGTGGAGATGCAGATGGAGAGCTTTCAGGAGGGAGAAGAGTATTACATGGGAGTGCAGGGTCATGGCAAGGAGTGGTGAAATTGTTCTTCATCAATGTACCCGACTGTGCTTCCATTTCACAAATTAGCTTTACAGCCACTATAATCTATTATATCTACATGTATAAGTGACAGATTTTTCAGTTCAAGAAACAATTATTACTTTTGGTTTCCTACATAACATGGGCTGTACATAACTTTTCACATTGTTATTCTGCACAAAGCCTGTGAACTGAGCCAAAGCTTTAAAAAAGAAAAAAGCCATTTTAAAGATCATAATTGAGAAAGTTAAAATTAATTTTGGGATTTTTATAATTTAGTCTGTATTAATTCATTTTACATCATAATGTAAAAAAAAAAAATTATTACTATTTGAAGTCTGCAACACACTCAGAATACCAGTGTCATGCTTGTCTGATGAAATGGATTTTTCACAAGAACATGCTCATTTGCATTAACTATCCAACTGTCCTCCATTGACTGCATCCTATATTAATGATACCAATTCCAGACATGGATTTCTGGTATTGATATGATAGCCACTTTTGCTTCTGTTCCTCTGGAGCTTTTTCTTTATTCCTAAATCTATTAAAAATGTGCATTATTATAGTTCCTTGTAAGCAAAACTCTGCTTCTCTCCAGTGACAAAATATTTAACAGCAAATGGTGGTCTTTACAAATGTAGGTTTTTGTACCTGCTGGAACTAGAAGTCATTAATTTGCCTGTAGCATGTAAGTATCACTGATATATATTTGCTATTTAATCTTTTTCTGCCTGTCTGAAGGGTAAATAAACACCTTTCCAGCAAAGCGGCCTTAATGTTTTTTTCTTTTCCATTCTTTATACAGAAGTAAAGTTCTTACTGACTGTGATCCTGTTGACAGTGGAGCTTCATTGATAACCAATAGTTTGCTTTATCGATTGCCAGACAAACTAATTAAATCAGAAGAACAGTCCTGGTCAGCTGACGTAGAAACAACAAGGCTCCTCCTGATCAAGTACATTTTGTAGCCATTTTGCTAACCTGCCAAGAGTAATGGTATAGAAACAAGCTACTGCAAAGTAGACTGGAGTGCAAACTTGCAGAAAATCAACCCTCTGCAGTAAGCTTGCCTGTTCTTCCTCCTGGTATCTTTGGCATATCCTCATTGGCTTGTGTTTGTTACTGGGTGACAGCACACGGCAGCTCTGGTGCCTCTGAGCAGCAGGATAAATGTCTCAGGTAGCCACTCCCTTGGCCTTCCAGGATGTTTTATTGCAGGCACTGCACTATTTTGGGCAGCCACCTGAAGCAAAAGACAACACAGATCCAACCCAGGGGTGCTCAGGGAGGGACAGAAGTGGGGAACAAGCTTCCTGTAAGCAGGAATGGCTTGTCATGGGGATTGAAGGAAGGGATGTGGTAGCAAGACACAGGGAGGAAGTTCAACAAAGGGGGAATTTGACACTTAGAAATCTGACTGTTGGGAGCAAGGCCCTTGGAAAGATGAAAAGATCCCACTGTCTTCCTGTGAAGGCAAAAAGGCAAAGAAAGCTCCAGCAATGGGAGCTTGCACTTGGGAAACAAGTCACTGAACTGTGGAAGAAAAATTGTCCTTTATTCTCTCTGGCAGCATCTGCGGATATTTTAGGACCTCTGTAAAACCTGTGGAAAGGTGTCCAGTTTTCTGGTATGTGTTTTAATACCGCATCCCTTTGATGAGTGAAGTGTTTCCCCCTATTAAATAGTGGCTTTGCTGCTGTTGTTCTCCCTCTTCCTTTCCTGCTCTAATTCCCCATGCCTGGATTGTCCTTCCTACTCCTACCTCAGTGGCAGAGCAGCCATGGCTACACCCATTGCTTGGCACTCACTGAGCATTAGGATGAAATACCATCAGCCTAGAAAAACTGGGGGTGTTACTGTGTTAAACACGTTTTTGCTTTTCTAAGGGTGTGCAGAGAATGGAATAAATAAAATAAGAGTGTGCCTGTAGGGGAGGGAAGAGGAGCAGTGTCCATGAAGGGGGTGTAGAAGAAGAAAGCACAGAGATCTAAGCGCAGTGTCCCAGCTGCAGGGAGGGGTGAAACCTGACAGGACCAGCAGCTGCACCCAAAGTGGTTGTGGCCCTTCCTTGTCTCCCCAGACCTCTCCTGGAAATCACCCTGTGTTCCTTCAGGATGTTTGATAATCATTGTCACCATGGCAGAAAAGGTGAATCGTCACACATCTGAAGGGAGGGATTAAGTAATCTCCTCACAGGCAGATGGAAACCAAAGCCTTGTGGAGGGTCTGTGTCCCCAGAATATGACTGACACTTCTGGTGTCAGCTATTCTACTGCTTCAGATCTTACACAGTTAACCAAAGATGTTACTAAAGCACATAGTAATGTTTGCACTGGGACTATCCAATGTCTAGGGTGCTGAATAATTAAACTCAGCACAGACTTCAAGCACTCAGCATCCCTGGAAATGTGATTTATTTACATTAGTATCGAGTCAGGTAAAATGTTTCTCTTCACACCTCCAAAACAACAGAGGAATTCCCATATTTTAGAGTTGTTTTCAGCAAGTGAGATGTATGTTTAAGAAACAAACACTGGATAACATTTGTTTGTTCAAACAAGATCTGAATCTTTGCCCGCAAGTCAAGTTACACATTGTGCAGAAGTTCATGTGGCCATCAGAGAAGCACAGGGGCAGCACATGTATACCAATCAGCTAAAGTTAGCCTTTGCACCTAGCTGAAATGTGGTAAGAACAGGATTTTTTTCAGCACTCTTTATTTTTCCTCAGTGTTCACAACTACATTGACTCTGCAGTGGGAGCCCCTCTGTGATCAAGCCATCCTGCAGTATTTTTCTCCCTTCCATTTTCTTGAAGTTGTTCTGCTGGATACCCACTGGGTTTATTGCAAAATGAGGGTGTATAAAGAAGTATTCACCTGACCAAATCTGTCCCTTCTCTCCCTCCACACACTGTCCTAACTAAAACTGTATTGCACTTATATTGTACTTTTGATCTCATGATGCTTGCAGTGCTCAAAGTTTGACTGTCAGGTGAACATGAAATGCACCCTTGAAAAAGTGAACAAGATTTGTTACAGCTTTTGCCATCAGGTGGCTTCTGCGTGCTGCCTGTTGGGTGAGGTTGGCAAACTCTGAATGAACAGGGTGTGGCCGTGTGGTATTCACATGTCCTCTGAACAGAAAGAGACTCGGCTTTCTCAGGATTTCTCCTGAGACAAGCTGTGAGAGAAGCAGAGAAAAGAGAATCAATTCTTATCTCATTTGCTGCTCCTCTGTGTGTGTGCCCATGTGGAATGAGGTACAGAGATTGTTTACCCAAGGTGATTGCTTGATTGGATTCTGGTGATGGTTGTTTGGATTCATTGACCAATTGGATCCATGTGTGTGTTGAGACTTTCAGGAGAGAGTCATGGGTTTTTAGTTAGGTAGTTAGTAGTAGTTCTAGTTAGTGTAATATAGTGTGATATAGTTATAGTATATAGGATATTGAAGTAATTAATTAGCCTTCTGAAATTATTGGAATCAGAGCATCATTCTTCCCCTGTTGGGAATCACTGCACCGATATAGCTGAGTGGTGCATATTTGTAAAGTGTAATCATACTTCCAGGGCAAGCTGTGTTTTACAAAACCTTGGAGGTGGCGTGGAGTGAAAGAAGGGCTAAAGTGTTCACACCACGGATTGTGTGGAGTCTTGCTAAAATAAGTCCTTGTGCTGCAGAGATGTACAAGTGGGTGTGGAATATGCAGTACTGTTACCCTCATCAGCCTGCACTCAACAAACAAATGAACATTTCGCTTTTATTTATTCCGAGGTTGGGGGGTGGGGGGTTCCAGTGGGCTCTTACACAAAGTATTCATTTAAATGCTTTGTAGTTTGCTGCTGCTGCTCTCCCAGCTCTCCTCTGGCTCAAGGCTGTACTCAGCAGGGTGTCAGCTCCTCTTCAGGCTTAGGCAGTGCTGCTTTGCAAGTGCACCCTTCTCTGGGGGATCACAGAGGCAATCCACTCACCAGTGCCCTGCTTGGCCTCCTCCCACGTGTAGCGGGGCACGTAGCCAAAATCCTGCTGTGCCTTTCTGTAGGAGAAGGTGAAGGGGGTGTTGAGCAGCGTGACCAGGTGGCGGTTGGTGGAGGGGACGTATCTGACAAAGGGCCGCAGCAAGAAGCTGACGATCTCCAGCAGCAGCGAGAAGTAATAGAGCACGGTCAGAGGCATGGGCAGCCGGGGCTCGATTCCAAAGCCCAGCTCTTTGGTCAGCTCATAGTTTAGGTCAGCGTAGCTCATGTGAGGAGTGTCATCTGAGATGTAGTAGAACTTGCCCCGCACGTGCTTGGCTTTCTGCGGGGCTCGGAGGGCTCTGGCTGCCTGCACGTGTGCCCAGGCGATGTTGCCCACGTAGACGGGGTTCACCAGAGCCTCCTTCCTGGAGAAGCGCAGGTAGATGTTCTTGTTCAACAGGCACTTATCCAGATGGCCTTGGAGAAATGGGCAGCCTTCCCCAAAAATGTACATGGATCTCAGGGCACAGGTCATCAGCGTGCCACCGTCCTTCAGCACTCGGCCATCTGCTTTCAGCACAGAATCCTCTGCCAGTCTCTTGCTTTGGGCATAAGGAAATTTGGATGTGCTCTCATAAGCTGTATCTTCATCACCGTTGAAAATTGGGTCCCCTCTGCAGTTTGGGCCTGTCACTTCAATGGTGCTGGTGTATATGAAGTGCTGGACGTTGCAGCGGACACACGCCTCCAGCAGCAGCTGAGTGCCTTCAGAAAACAAATATGAAACACAACCTAGGTTAGGGCCCCCTAACCAAGAAAACATGGGGGGTTTCAGATCAGAAACAACATCTCTGGCCTGATCTTAGCCAGATCTCCCTCCCTGAAGCTGGAAGAATCCTGTCCTGTACAGGGCTGTATATTCGATCTGTTCAAGATGAATTTCACCCAAATAAAATGTCATTTATTTGCAAATCAGAATTGTGTGTAAAAGTTTAAAGATTCCCACAGTAATGGGAATCTGAGTATCTTTCACACAGAATGTAATGAAGTAAATTATTACTGTATTACATACTATATTCACTGAGAGGGTCCCCTGGTTTGCTTGCCATTCTGTCTGAGGATCTGAAGGTATTTTGTTTAGATTATAATTAATTATTTTCTCAATTCCCTTCCTTTTAAAAATTTGCTTCCCTTTCTTCATAAGAAAGATATTTTTGCTCTGAGATATTGTATGGTAATGGAAGAAAGCCCTGCATCAAGGCAAGTTTAACTTTCTCACTTCTGTCCTGGTTCATGAACGTCCACCCCTGATTCTTGAAACATTTATATTACACAAGTTCTATTTTCTAGGAGAAACAAAACTTTCATTCTGCAAGCCCATGAAGTACATAGCAGTGCCCTGGTTAGTCAGAAAACCAGAAGAGCATCAGAATGGAAATGGAAGAAAACAGAGGACAGCAGTATTCACTCACTGACCTTGTGGCTAGTTGGCTCTGGGAGCAGGACTATGGATGGTATTTCATTCTAACAAATGTTGTCAGCTACTCCTCATTGGCCCAGTGGGCTTTTTTTTCACATAGACAGACACTGTTGGCAGGGGAGTGAGTACAGGGGAGTCAGAGCTAAAGACCTCTCTGGGTTTGGGACATTTTAATAGTAATTTGTTGTTTGGGGGTTGTTTTTTTTTTTTTTTATGTTTTTTATTTTTCCTTATGGAAAAATGTTTTTAAGCAGCATATTCTGCTGTGAAAAACCAGACTGTAGTGAGAGTACAGTCATAAAGACAGATCTTTCCAAATCCTCCTCTGAGCTACCATCCAGGTAAATTTTCATATTACCCAATACACAGGTTTCCAGGAACTTGCCTTTCTACTTTTCCCTCCTGACAGGGCCTAAGAGGCTGCCCAGTGGGATCTGTGTTTTGATCTGACAATTTGTGGCTTTGACTGAGCAGAAATGAAAGGGTCTGGAAGCTAATGGTACAGGGAATGAGCCGCACCAAAACAACTAAAATGCCATCCCACTGTTTTTAAGGTACATATAAGAAACAACTCAACTGCCAAGATTCTCTCTTCATCAGAACACTGGTGAGCAGCCAATATTTGTGAAAGTGATGCCTGTGCAGGTATGTTCCTTATTTTTCTATGAAGAAGCCCTGTGTCTGTGGCAGAGGGGAACAAAGAACTGGAAAAGCTGTTCATGTAAATAAGAACATCTTCCCCAAATCTCCCCCAAGCTGTTGAAGCAACATGTCCAGGCAGGCCAGTGTGCATGCGGGTTAGGCAGTGCCAATTCTCTGAATGGCACTGAGGGTTTTGGCATCACAGACAGGGGGTGAGGTTGTTCTTTTTAGGAAATACATTTCAACTTCCTGGTAGGTGATGCTACATGGGCCATTCCTAAGTCTAAAACTTCTCCCTTCACCTGATCTTCCCTGAAGACTGGGGGTTCCTTAGTGGAAGGGGAAATGCCATCACTGAGTCACCAAAACCCCTGCCTCCCATAGCTCTGAGTTTGTTGGGGAATTTTAAATTATAAACTCAAGGTGGGAGAACACTTGTTTGTCTCAGCTGCCTTCTTGCACACACAGACTTACAGGCAAAGGAAAGAAAAGGAGAAAAAGAATAGCAAGGAGAAAGTCACAGGCTCTGGGATGTTATCAATGCAACATTTCTGTATTTGTAAACTTTGAAAAATGTACACAGGCAGGGATGCCATGTGGGGTGGGAGAATAAGAACCAATTTCTGAGGCGACCACTTGGATTTCAGAGGGGAATTGCTTTCAGAAAGTTCTACTGAGCATGGGTTTATGACTATCACCACGGAAGGCAGAGCCTGTGCAGACCTCAGCACAAGGTCTGACAAGAGTGAGGATCTTGCACTGCCCTGAAGTGGAAGACTGGGTGTGGAGAGGCCCAGAATTTCTTGGGGCTGCACAGACACGGGATTTGCACCCCTAGGAATGTCTGTGCAAGATGCAGAAGGACCCAGTTAACCTGGCTCAAAACAAACAGAGGTCAGATGCTCCCTTTCCTGGGCAGAGGGTGATCAGGACACAGATGTGGCTTTGAGGAAGGTGCTTCCCCTGCTCACCTGTTACATTGACTTCCCAGAGCAGCTTCTTCTCGATGAGGCCCAGGGTGTCAATGAGGGAAGCCGTGTGGATGACGAGGGAGACGCCCTGGCAGGCGCGGTGCAGGAATGTCACATCTCGGATGTCCCCTTCCAGGATTTTCACCTCAGTCTTCCCCTTGAACTCTGCAGGGGCAGCAGAAGACAGAGAATAAGACCTCAGAGGCACCCTGAGAAGAGTTCTGGAAGGGTGGTAAAGGGCTGACCCCGCCTGGTGCTGACTGTCCAGGAGCTGCAGGGCTATTTTGAGGCTGTGAAACAGAAGGCATTTCCCCAGGACTCTGTTGTCATATGACAGTACGATCTAACTACAGTGCTACAGAGGTTTATTCTGCATTACCTACCTTAGACCTGGAGCCAATATTCAACATGCTTCTTTCCATTTTATTTTTTAGAGATCTTTTCTACTGCTAGCAAGCTTCCTTGAGCTGTGGCTGTGTGAAAGTTCACAGAGTAGCTTTAGCTGTGCCTGACTGGCTGGTGATGTGTTAACCCAAGAGCACTGAACAGGCACTGCATGTTCCTGTCTTCAAGCTGATGAATGATCTCTCTCTCCATCCAGAGCATGTGAGAACAGGGATGTGTTCATACCTACTTTCTGCCCCTTTACCTTGCCTGTATTGCAGCTCTTCTAATAAATTACATGCAATTCTGACATCTTTAAATTGTACCTTGGCCAGGACTTACAGTACCTCTTCCAGTTCCAGCCCTGGCTCCATTTCAGTGTCTGTGGATCCTTTTTAGCCTGTGAGTCTTTCTGGTTCATACCTGAACTCTCAAGGCTGTTCTGAGCTACCTCAGCCTGGCTTGAACAAATCCTGCTTTTTAAGCCCTGTCCCCCCACAGCAGCTGCAGTGTGGCAGCCCAGAGGAGCTCTAGGTCTCAGAGCCATCCTGTGCTGGGCAGAAGGAGGAGATTCCATCCCAGCAAATCCTCTGGGAGCCTCTGCTGTGGCTGCACTAGATGGCTCCCCAGACACAGCTACTGGGCAGGGACTCTGCAGCACAGGCAGAGCCTCTGTCTCCTTCCAGCATAATAAAATGCCCCTTTTAGATAAGAGAAGAATCTGATTAATTTGTACAGCTTTTAGCTTCAGCCATGACTGAAATCTTGTGTATCCTCGTGCTTTGTCACCAGCTCCAAAGCAGGCACTCTTTCATCCCATGTCTGTAATAGGAAACACTGACAGAGACAGTTGTTGGATCTGGAACTGAGTGGGAATATATTTTAAAATGGTTTTATGTCTTTTTCTCTATAGCATACTAGAGAATGTAATCCTGTATCAATTTAACAATTATTCTGATGCAACAGGCTTAAGGGGCTTTTTTCCCCACCACAGACAGTCGGTCTGAGATTAAGGTTTGTGAAACATTTGCTGAACTGTTACTAAATCTAGAGTTGCTGCCCTCCCAGCAGAGTCATTACCACATGCTCTCTTCTGCTCCTTTATTTTACAGACTGCATTAATTTCCTAGGATTCTATCTCCAGAAGCTTCACTCTGACCTCTACTTGCATGGATGCAAAAGAGTCAGACTAGAGCTGGGCTTTTTTTTTAAGTACCTGGTAGTTAGATTTGCTCTAATAAACATTAATGTCTGTACTGCCTTACGGCTGATGTTCTCCATGAACAAGGCTTTGTGAGATTGTAATAATCCCAAGAACAGACAGAAGTAGTTTTCACAACATAAGTTCTGACATGTGACCCTTCAAAGTTATCACCGTGCCCAGGAAGGGGTTAGGAAAATTGAAGTTTTACACAAGCAAATCAAAGCTTTCGGAAAAAGTACAGAAGAAGCCTGTCCCTTTTAAAGCTGATCATAGGAAATCTGCTGTCTAGGTGCTTTGTGCCTTGTTTGGGCTTGCAGTTTGTGTGTGTTTGATATGAGTCAGGAAATCTGCTCCTCTATTCCATTTTAGCCAGCAGAAGTTGCCATGGAAAGTACAATATGGGCCTTGCTCCCTTCAGCAGCATCAGCTGCGTGTCAGGAATCATCAGATTGATCTTGTTTTGCTCTGGGTGAAGAGAAAACTGCAGGTGAGCTTGGAAGAAGAGAGAGTTAAGAAATGTCTGACAGACGGTGGTATCAGTTTGAGATGGCCTGCAGGGAGAACTGTTCCTGATTTCCATCTAGACAAACCATTGCTCAGGCAGCACAAGAACACATGTGGGTAGGTCAGAGAGAGGAACAGAATAAATTCAAGTCAGCTCTCCATTTTTGCATAAAGTGATTATGACAAAGCACCTACTGGCTGGGAAAGCTTGTTCTTCTTCACCAGTGCTTTCTGTGTCCTCTGAGTTGTAAGTAAACTCCCAGCTTGCTGTGGGGTAGTTTTTGCTTGAAAATGCAATGATTTCTCAATAAAATTCAGTGTCCTGTTGTGAGCAGTTTTTGACTCAGCAGTACAGTCAGACTATTTGCCCTAAACTTGAGAACAACATAGGAGGTTTGATTTCTCCAGAAGTGCCAATGCAATAGTGAACAGCAAAAACAAGAATTGTGTAAGTGGGAGCACAGGAAAGACAGAAAGATAAATCTGACATGGGAGATGGGAGGTAAGAAACCCAGGCACCAAAGTACCATGTTTAACATTACATCCATTCTCAGCCACACAATGGAACCAGGTGGACTCCAACTCTCAGCCCTCGACTCTGACTGGATCATCCCAGACTCCCTGGGGCTGTGGAAGACCACAAATGCCACTGGTCCTACACAGACTGAGTGTGATGGTCAAGCTCTCAGCAGGAAAGTTGTTTGGACAAAAGAGGAGTGCCCCTGAGTGCCTTCTGGCACAAAGACCTGTGATGTGCCCATACTTTTCTGTCTCACTACCCACAGCCCTGCCTCTGCACAGATATTGCAAGTGCAAGGTGCTCAAGGGATTAGTGAGGAAAAAACCCACTCAGCTCTGCTCCTGGCTGTTCCAGAAATCCAGATAACATCTGCTAGCAAGTAAAAGTCCCTGTAGTAAAACTAATGCAGGTCAGAAGACTCCAGTCCCACCCACAGGTTTGGTAGCAGCAACACACTTGGAATAGGAGTCACTGAGACAGAGAAGGGCTTGAAAAGGAACAGCAGGGACATATTTTGGGTAGTACTGAGCACAGGCACTGGCAGGACACTAGAAGAGATGTAGCCACAAGGGCTGATGCAGACAGAGGAGCTGCCAGTCAAAGTGCAGGGGCTCAAATCTGTTTAAACACATCTGGAATGTCAGCCTATGGTCCCTGCTACTTGTTTATGGGAAAGAAAAGGTAACTGATTTTTCCCTACCCCCTGTGCTGCTCAGATAGTCAGAAGGAATGTTAAAAG